GGGAAACCAGCTTAAAAGGTGGTTCCCTCTAGCACCAGCCCGTCACTGTCCCCACTGTAGGAAGCAGCAAGTGGGAGGGCAGGAGGGTCTGTGGAGCCTGCATGCATGGGGAACTGGCTTGAAAGTCAGCCTGCCCCACTCGCCCTCTGTGCTGCTGCCTCTCTATCAGAGGCAGCAGTGCGTGGATAGGGGGCAGGCAGATCTGGTGCTCGTGGGAAGCCTGCTTTAAGCTGAAACTTAGAAGAGCTGGTCTAAGGCTTCAATGCAGCATGGTTTGCTGAGTATGCAAAGAATTCATTCATATCAATTGTACTTCTCTTAAAGTATGTTGTGAATTGAAGCCTCTGTTCCAGTGTCTGTCTCCTATGTCTTCTCTGACTTTGGGCAAGTCATTACTTGGTCTGACTTGGTTTCTTGTTGTCAAGTGGGCAAGGTAGTTCCCTACATTGCACAGGTACTGTGAGGACAAATTTGTTAAGGTTTGTGAAGCACAGAGGTACTACGATGAGCCGTGCTACATCTTTCACCCTGTCATTGAGCCATTGTGTGCTTTCTGGAACTCAGAATCTACATTATTCTATCTGATGTATTTTATATTGATTTTTCCAGAAGAAAGTGTAATTGAAAAGGTAGTTTTTTTACACAACTTATCTTTCAGTGGCAAAATGTTAACTATTCATCAGCATCCTAATTCTTATGAGTAACATTTTTAGTTGATTTTTGAATAGATCGTATGAACAAAGCATAGAATCCACATGAATATTAGTGAAGTACAATTTAACTAACTTGACTGCATTTGATAACTGGAGTTATAAATGAAAACACAAAATGAGCATTGCGTAATGGTTAAAATGCAAGCTCCTGTGTTCCATGTTTGACTAGAATATAGAGTTGGGCTGAACTTCTGATTTCCTTTGTCAGTTTTTATTTCTACTGTGTACTCAATAGCAGTAGTCTGTCTCCCTTTCACAACTAGTTTTGAGTGGCTGTGGGGGGATGGTATAAGTACCGTGTTTGAGTTTTTGTATGTCTGCACCCTAGGTTTTTTTAAAATTTTTTTTATTATTATTATTGTTACAATGCAATCACCGGGCTTACTCCTAGCTTCCCAAACAATAATACGTAACTGTTTGTTGTTGATTAGCAGATGTGTTAGAATTGAATATAAATAAACTTATTAGGGATGAACGATTTGGTCAGAATATTTAAAAAATTCAAGATTTGTCAGGTTGTGGATTTACTGTCTTTGGTAGGAATTTTAAGTAGATGGTCTCTTCATTTGGCCTTGGAATTTCAGTTTGCAATCTTTCATAAAAATGCTGTTGGAATTAGGGGTATGAACGTGTACCTGGGTATGAATGTGTACCTCGGTACACGATTAACTGATGAGCCTGAGTTACACGTAGCCCCATCCCCTGCTGCCTCTGTATCAGAGGTGGGGGGTTGGGTACGCAGGAGCTGGCTCCCTACAAGAACCAGCTCCCACCTGCCTCCCCCAGCATTTAAACGTGTATCCTCTGTAAATTTCAGCACTTACACATTTACAGAAACTATCATCCCTAATTGGAATAGTGCTTGTTGGAACGTGAGCAAATAGCCTTTTTGGACAACATTTACTCAAGTTACGTACTTTGTAGCATTAATGCTCTGTATATTGTTTGTCTTGATAGATATAACTGACCTCATTCAAATGCTCTCCCAACACTTATTTTTAATAGGGAGAAAGAACAAGAAATTCAAGAAGAGGAACATTTGATGGAAGAAAAGAAAAAGAAAAAGCAGGAAGAAAAGAAAAAGAAGGAAGGTGCTCAGAAAAAGGTTTGTCTTCTGTTATGGTAGAACCACATGGCGAACGATAGAATGGAGAACAGCAAAATAAAGACCATGGATTTCAGGAAGGCAGATTTTAGTAAACTCCGAGAGCTGGTAGGTAAGGGTCCCTTTGGAAGCAAGATTAAGAGGAAAGACAACTGAAGACAGTTGGCAGTTTTTCAAAGGGATACTATTAAGGGATCAAAAGCAAACTATTTCACTGCACAGGAAAGATAGAAAGTATGGCAAGAAACCACCTTGACCTAACCAGGAGATCTTTCCTGAACTAAAAATAAAAGTCTCATAAAAAGTGGAAACTAGGTCAAATTACAAAGGAGGGGAATATAAGCAAATAACTCAAGTATGAAAGGGCAAGATTAGAAAGACAAAGGAACAAAAATAGATCAGCCTAGCTAGAGACCTAAAGGGTAACAAGACATTCTACAAATATATTAGAAGCAAGAGGAAGACCAAGGACAGGATAGGCACATTGTTCAGTACATAAGAATGGCCGAACTGGGTCAGACCAAAGGTCCATCTAGCCCAGTAGCCTGTCTGACAACCGTGGCCAACACCAGGTGCCCCAGAGAGGGTGGATTGAAGACAATAATCAAGCGATTTGTCTTCTGCCATCCCTCTCCTGCCTCTGACAGACAGAGGCCAAGGACACCATTTTATCCCCTGGCTAATAGCCTTTTATGGACCTAACCTCCATGAAATTATCTAGCTTCTCTTTAAATTCTATTATAGTCTCTAGCTTCTCTTTAAACTCTATTATAGTCTATTATAGTAAAGAGGGAAAAACAATAACAGGAAACTTGGAAATGGAAGACGTGCTTAATAACTGTCTTGTTTTGATTTTCACCAAGAAGATTGATGGTGACTAGATGCCTAACATAGTGAATGCTAGTGGAAATGGGGTAGTTTTAGAAGTTAAAATAAAAAAAAGGTTAAAAACTACTCAGAAAAGGTAGCTGTCTTCAAATCACTAGGGCCTGATGAAATGCAGCCTAGAATACTCAAGTATCAGAGAGGTAGCTGTGCTAGTCTGAGTCTGCATAAACAATGAGAAGTCCTGTGTCATCTTATAGTCTAACAGATTTATTAGACTGATGAAGTGAGTCTTTGCCCACGAAAACTTATACTCCAATACATCTGTTAGTCCAGTGGTCCCCAACCTTTTCAGGTTGGCGGGCGCCAGGGGGCGTGGCCGTTTGCCTGCCGGGTGCCAGGGGGCGGGAACACTTGCCCGCCCGGGGGCGGGGCCCCCTCCATAGCCGCGCGCCCGGGGAAGGCGCCCCCTGGCAAGCGCC